CCCTCTCTCTCCCTCCCCCCCTCTCTCTAGCAGGGACGTGGTTCTTCATTTCCTCCCTACACACCTATTCATCAGCTTTTTACGTGCCATTTGTTATAGTTGCACAGGCTTTTTATATGCATATAAAATTGCATGGGTTTTCACTGTTATTTAGCCAGACTTCTGTCTGTGTGCAGACAGTGCTGAACAAAATCTACAAACGGCACTGAATAGATTTCCTATAGCAGTCTGTATCCAATATCTCGCTCCTGCATGCTTTCATTGATTTCAGTTCATGCAGACTTTTTTACAAGTGCTAGAAAACAGCTGTGACAGGAAGTCACTTAAAGCATTACTCTTGTTATGTGACAGATTGTCTGTGCTGCTCCAGCAGGAGTCGCCCTGGAATACTGTCTTCTCTTTAACATGCAGAGTCTTCAGGACACTTCGTCTGGCTGTTCTTGTACCATGAATCACTCCCTGTGCCCCTTAATTACTTTTAATCTTACTGAAAGCTGGAGCTGCAGCTGGATTGGGCTGCAGAGAGATGAATGATTCATAAAGGAGCCTGTGGTGCTCGTCTCAGGGCTTGACTGACACCATCTCTGCCTTAAAGACTACAAATGCTACTACTGCACATACATTGTGTTTAAGCACTATCCTGCCAGGCTTGTACAGTGTGGTAATTATAGCACTAGATAGTTCAGTAAACCAACATGGCACTATCGTAGGCATCCGAATAATCTGCATGACGTCACATGGTTCAACAGCTTTTCCAGGCAGGCATTGTGAAGTGCCTGTGTTAGGTTTTAAGAGATGTTCAACTCCATTATGTAACTGTATTTTGAAGAGAGCTCTCACAAATTTGGTCAAAGCGTTCTTTAAATTTTGCAGTCACTTAACAGCAGATTTATACTGTTGTGTGGTTATGGTCTGAGCAAATGAAAAAGATCAAACCAAAACAGCATGTTGTTATTCAGTTATCATAAATTAATTAGCAGGGCTAACATTAAGAAAAAATAATACTATTTAGAATATTTTTAAGCTCATCCTACACAATCTTCTGATTATAAAGCCTGAGAGCTGTTGCTAAGTTACAGCTTCTTGTTCTATTTTTTCTTTCTTTTCTTTTACTCTCTAATTTTTTTTACAGTGCCATCCATAGTTTCTCTAATGAAATATTCAAGCACTTCTTGTGAAGTTATATATATATATATATATTAATGGAAAAATGAAACACAAGAGTAGAAAATGCAATTGCATAATATAATATCCACAAGGAAATATTTAAATCAGTCTGTTTCCAATCCAGGCATTAAAGTAGCACTGGAGATTTTACATCAAAACACATCATTCTTGGCCAAAAAAAACAATAAAAACAACTACAGACTATGTGAAATATATGGATATTTTAGGCTGTTATCTATATTGGAGTGAGAAAACATCAAAACACAAGTAGAGTAGCATGGGAATCTAGCACAATGTAGAAATCGAGTCAACTCATATATATATATATATATATATATATATATATATATATATATATATATATATATATATAC